CGCTGTGCAAGACACTGTCAATCTGATCTGGCAACACTTATAAGAGGCTCACTTCTACTGTCAATCTGATCTGGCAACACTTATAAGAGGCTCACTTCTACTGTCAATCTGATCTGGCAACACTTATAAGAGGCTCACTTAGACAGCTGTAAACCACAGATCGTTACAGCTGTAAACATGGGGCTGCAGGCTCAAACTCTTGTTTCTGCAAAGTGGCTTGCAAACATGGCCAACCGAAACCTCGTGGGACCTGGTCTGCGGATCCTGGACACGTCCTGGTACCTGCCCATGATGAACCGAGACGCCAAGAAGGAGTTTGCAGAAACTCACATCCCAGGAGCTTCTTTTTTCGACATTGACGAGTGCTCGGACAGAACCTCAAAGTTCGACCATACGCTCCCAAATGAGCAGTTTTTCGCAGACTATGTAGGGAATTTGGGCATTGGAAATGACAGCCATGTGGTTGTTTACGACGCCAGTGACTTCGGAGCATTTTCCTGCACCAGGGTTTGGTGGATGTTCCGCTTGTTTGGCCACCCTCAAGTGTCGGTGCTCAACGGGGGGTTTAGGGACTGGGTCAAGCGAGGACATCCGACAACAGGCACGTATAGCCGGCCTGAAGCAGCGCGCTTCACCGCCACCATGGAGCGCTCCTGGGTGAAATCATTCGAGGACATGACAAAGAACATTAACAGACAACAGTTCCAGGTGGTGGACGTGAGGCCCCGGAAAAGGTTCCTTGGATGGGAGCCAGAACCAAGAGCGGGTATGTCTAATGTTTGCACTTAAGTACTTTTTAGTTGTTGTGCTGCACATTATTTTAATACAAATGCATGTGCCGGTGAATCAAAGTCACTAGCCTACAAAAGGGCATCATTTATATAGCAAACAGTTCCCCTCAAAATCAATAATGCAAAGACATGACAGCAGTGTGTAGCATCAGTGCTATGCTAAGTGAATGCAAAGGTCATATAGTATAGGCTAGGGCTAGGCCATTTCTTTGAATTTTGTCACATTGTGTCCACACTTTTTATTATTGAATTTATCGAGGTGTGATTGTTTTACTAAAATGTATTTTGAATGTTTTTAATTGTCACCAATGTCACCATTGATTTCTAGCACTCTATTGTGATGTTCCTTATAAACCAGACTAAAGCCCCTAAGGATTGGTTTAAAGTACAAAGTGTTTTTCTTCAAAATCATCAAGAAACAAGCAAAAGAAAATATATTTTTGTTTCACAGATCCTTGAATATTGAATATTTGATCTGCTTAATCAAGACTTGGTTGTTTGGTATTTGATTGACAGTCGCTAAGAAACTAAAGCACATAGCCAAACAAATATCATCAGACAATAATTACAATGTTGTTTATTGATGATTGGTCCACGGAAATAGGTGACTGTATATGATATATATGAATAAAACACGTATATACTACAGAAATGTATCACATGAAGTAACCATAACTGTTGTAAACAGTTATGGTTACAAATAATGTAGGACCCCATTAAGTAAGAGAACATTTGAAAAACAGTGGTATTTAATTGTGCTACCCGTATGTCCAAAGATGTAATCTACTATATTTTTTTCCCACAGATGTCAAATCAGGTCACATCCCCGGCTCTAAATGCATGCCTTTCTGGGAGTTCCTGGATAAAGACGGCATGATGCTCTCCCCGGAGAAGCTGAAGGAGTTCTTTGAGCAGTCTCAGATCGACCTGAACAAGCCTCTCTGTGGCACCTGTGGCTCCGGGGTGACGGCCTGTCACATGGTGCTGGCTGCTCACCTTTGCGGGGCCCCGTGGGCCACTGTGTACGACGGGTCCTGGTATGAGTGGTTCACCAAAGCTCCACCTGAGCATGTAGCCACCGAGGTCAAACCAGAGATTTAATTTACCAATCTGTGTTAAAAAAAAATCACACTATGATACTGATACATTCTAATGGTAATCACAGTTAAATAAACTTCCAGGGATAAACAGAATTCTAAACTTAAGTATATGCTATGTGTGTTTGTTACAAAATCAAAATGTGGATTTTAAAGAGGCCCTATGCTTTGGGGGGGGTTTCCCAGCATTCCCTATGTAGTCCAGCCCTGGGGGTCTTCTAAGGCTAAAATCCCAAAGTTCCCTCCACTTTTTGTGTTTACTTCCTGAACATAATGACATCACTATGCAACGGCTAGCGCTCCAACACATTGTACATGATAGGCTACAAGGTTGGACCTGGATCTCTAAGTGGTTGACCAATCACAACAGAGCCGGCCAGCTAACCAATCAGAGCAGACTGGGCTCTGGTTTCAGACAGAGGGTGAAAAGAGGTGCTGCAGCACAGGCAGTATGAGAAAAATAAAGAGCTTTTTGAACATTAAAGCATGGAGACATGTCCCAGTAGAGACACTACATACTGATAGACACCTGAAAACTAGTATAATAGGGCCCCTTTAAAACAAAGTCTGTATTTTATAAGAAACCAGACTCTAATCTAGATAATGCAATGTTTTCTTTATTGTATTTTTAAACATGTTAAAATAAACTATACTGCTGTCATATTACCGAGACAGGGCTTATTTACTGAGAATAATTTTACATTACATGTTAGTTGTTAGATGCTTTTATCCAAAGCTACTTACATACTCAATACTGTGGACAATCCCCACAGGAGCAATTTGGGGTGAAGTGTCTCAGGGACACAACGACATGCTGACTGCAGTGGGGTTTGAACATGTGCTCCCCTGATCCGAACACCAATGCACTAGTCCACTGCGCCACACGCCTAATTCTGATTTTAAATAATATTAGATGGTGCTGTTTTCAATGTTGCTGTTTTTACTCCCCTTCTCCCCCATTATTGGAGTATTGGTGCCATTTTATGACAATAATTGAGTATTTGAAGAACATTTTGAGCTTTTTCTTACTCTAGCACTTAACCCATGTGGGCTCTTGTGGAGATGTATCCACATGGCACAGCCTGCTGGTGCTTTGAGGTAATGCACTTTAAAAACAA